CTTAAAAATGAATTAAATCACTATACAGATTAAAATCACAATTACAAACTATTTGAAACTAAAGAAACTATTTGGTGGCGGGGCGGGGGGGGAGGAGAATATGTTATTCCGGGAATGCCTGCCCATGACCTTCTTAAAGAGTCCATCCATCTGGCATGTGGTTTTCTTCTATTTCTACCTCTCTACACCTTTCCTAGCATTATTGTCTTTTCCAGTGATTCGTGTCTTCTCGTGAAGCGACCAAAGTACAACAATCTCAGTTTGGCTTTCAGGAAGAGTTCAGGCTTGATCTGTTTAAAGACCCATCCCTTTGTCTTTTGGCCATCCAGAGTATCCTCTGCACTCTTCACGCTACAGAATTAAAATACTATAATTCCACTTTAACTGCCATGGTCCCATCCAATGGAATCCTGTAATTGACAGTTATGGGAGGGTTGTTGTTTTTTAGGATTCTCAGCCAGCACTCCAGTGCTACAAACTACAAATCCCAGGATTCCACAGGTCTCAACCATGCCAGTTAAATCATAGCGTGATGATTCTGTAGCACGCATGGGCCCCAAAGGGCTTTTTTAAACGGTTCGCAGTTTCACAGAAGCTGATGCTATCAGGCGATGCTACGATTGGTGCAAAAGCAAGAAAGGACATTGCTAACCACAGGCTCAGTTACCTCAAGAGTCTTGAACAGAGATCTCCATATTAATTTGTTTTCCCTTTGGTCATGACATCTGGGTACTGTATCCTATGAATGTTTGCATTACAATCCAGCCCTGTTGCTATGAGATGGGTGCAGCTTCAAGCAGGCTACCCTCCGCCTTCCCTCTCTCATTTTTTGGTCTCTGCTTCTCTCCATAAACTCAGTGCTTTTCTTCTTTGGTTCCTTTGGGTACCTTGCCCATATCTTGCCCACGATGGGAAGATCTCAGAGCGGCTTATAATAAAATCAAAATCACGTGCACAGCCTTCTGGGTGGGTTTTCCCCTCTTCCTCCTTGCTACCTTGAACTGTTTGCTCCATGCCTCTCTGCATGCGATTCTCTTTCCATCAGCCGCCTTCCCACACAGAGTCAGAAATACCACCAAGCCTTGTGCGCGTGGCACATCGACATGAAAACCTGTGACTCCTTCTATACTGGTGCCATCACAAAACAGGGAAGGTGGGTGAGCTTTCCATCCATCCATCTGTCCATCCCTCCCTCCTCTTCAGCTCTCCATTTTCTCTCCATTTCCTCCAGGGCTGGGAAGGGGATGCTTTTATTCCTTTGGCATCCAAACCCAGAGGCCACTGCCAACTGCAAAGGGGCACAGACCAGGCCTCGGAGCTCATCAAATTAGCCAGACGATTTATGCCGCCGCGCGGTCCAGCCTCTCTTAAATTGGCAGTTAGCAATTCAGCGCTGTCGCTCATATGCAACAAACTCCAACAAGCTTCAAAGGCTACTGCCAGCTTTTCCTCCCCTATCCACAAAGTAGTGTTGGCAAATCTAATATCCGCACTGTAGCAAGTATCTAGTCAATGGGGCAATAAACTGGTAGATAGTTCTTGGCATTTTGAAACCGGTTCAAGTTTTTAGACCTTCAGGTTTCTCTCAGTCTCACCACCCCATGAATTTTTTATAGTTTTCTTGGGCAAGGAGTACTCAAGAGATGGCTTTGCCAGTTCCTTCCTCTGAAATATAGCCTCCAGCACATGGTATTTGTTCATGACCTCCCATCCAAATACTAACCGGTGCTGACCTTACTTAGATCAGACAGGAGCTGGTGCCTTTAGGGTATTTAGACCAGTCTTGTACACCTGTAGATGAAGATATATGATAGCAGTATATTCCAGAAACCTCCCAGTTAGATTGCTACAATAATACATAGGGCTGCACTTGAAGACTGTTTGGAAACTGACAGTAGGATGCAGGCCAAATTTTTGTAGATGCATATGCATAAATATCTCCTTAAATTTTGAGGTCAAGAGAATCCTTCCTGCTGGGCATGGATTCTGTTGAGATGAGGCAGTCCGGTATTATAAAGAGAGAAAATATACCATTTAATGGATTCCATGTGTGTCAACCCAGCTAGTCCTGGCTATCTTGGACAATTAGAATTGCACTCTAAATCAAACACCTCATAACATGGATATCACAATTCCAAGACGCCAAGTTGTGGCAGAGAAGAGAGTGATTTTTCTGGCTCTTCTATTTCCTTTGTTCCACTTTGCATCCACCTGCTAAGGAAGGTAAGCAAAGGGCTGGCAGCGTGAAAATTGGTGCTGCTCCAGTCATGTCCCCTCCATTCACAGAATTACTGTGAAAGTAATTTCCATGTTCTAAGCCACTGATGGCTGGTCACATTTTCTCTTATCCTTTGTTGCTATTAACTGCCCTCAAGTTGATTTCGACTCATGACGACCCCATGGATGAGACATCTCTGCAACCTCCATTGCTCTGCTTAGTTCCTGCAAATTCATGCTTGTGACTTCCTTAATAGAGTCCATCCATCTGGCATGCAGTCTTTCTCTCTTTCTACTTCCTTCCACCTTTCCTAGCATTATTGTTTTCTCTAATGAGTTGTGCTTTCTCATGACATGACCAAAGTATGACAGCCTCAGTTTAGTAATTTCAGGCTTGATCTGCTCAAGGACCCATTTGTCTTCTTGGCCATCCATGGGATCCTCAACACTTCTCCAGCACCACATTTCAAATGAGTTGATTTTCTTCTTATTTGCTTTCTTAACTGTCCATCTCTCACATCCGTACATGGCAATAGGGAATGCAATGGCTTGTATGATTCCAACTTTTGTGCCTGCTCCAAATCACCTATGCAAGAGATATCATTTTCTCATCTTTTCCTTGCTCTGAGCAGGATCAGTCTCCATAGACTGTGCCAATGTTGGCAGTGTGGTCTTCTACACATCTACACAAGAGTAATCTACTTCATTGGAGGCTGGTGGTTCCCATGTTGGTGGGACAAGAGATCCACTCAGAAATCTAGATTGAAATTCAGAACTATCTAACGGGTGTGTCTGTGCTTTGAAGTCATCTGTTGACTTATGGTGACCCCATAAATTTCATGGGTTTTTCTTAAGCAGGGAATACTCAGAGATGGTTTTGCCAGCTCCTTCCTCTGAAATATCACCTACAACATCTAGTTAATCGACTCAGTGGGACTTGTGTAGGGTTGGCTTACCATTCAACAACAGATGTAATGGATCTTCTCTAGCTGGAATCCAGCAATTGGATTTGGCCCCAAGTAATACTGAGGTCCAGAAGGTCGCAACAATAAACCTCAAAGAGTCCTCATATTTCCTATTTAATTGGAACAAAAATAACCCTTGCGATTCAACAAACCAACTAGGAATAGATAAATGGTTCCCAGAAGAGTTGGCTATGGGGAATCCTTCCCTTTCCTTACATATGAATGTTCTCTCATTTCTGCCAGGGCCTATGCT